AGGCATGATTGTAGCCCGCACATTTCTGATTAAAATGAGACCTCTCCCAACTCTACATGACCTTTCTTTGCAAAGTTATAGAATTTACACGAAGAGCCCTAAATTAATTTCTTATTTCTGTAGCTTTGAGCTGACAATGAACATTTAGGGCTTTTGTTGTAAATTCTATAACTTTGGAAAGAAAGGTTATGTGGAGTTGGGAGAGGTCTCATTTTAATCAGAAATTTGCGGGCTACAATCATGCTTCGTTAAGAACGGTTCGGGTTATTTTTTGGGGTTTCTGAAAAACTCGTTTTCTAGAAAACCAGGTCTTCGAAGGGCTATGCGGAAGCCGCATGGTCGTATTCGTAATCAACATGGTCGATAACCTATAATCCACTAGATTCCGAGCAAAAAGCGTTTAATCACTTCGTGGGGTTCCCTCGTCAGTTCAGTCTCTAAGTGGGTCTAAGTAAAATTAGTTAAAATTTGAACGAACAACGGTATAGTAGCGATGCATTATAACGACAGGATCCCATCAGATACGATCATATGATAAAATTAACAATTTCTAATTGCTGGATGTGTGCGAATTGCTATGGACTATGTTTTATGCTGAAATATCCGCTTTTTTTCTGTTAGATTATGATGGTGAACAGTGCTGTCCTGTCATCTTGAAATGAACATTAAGACAATAAAGAGAAAATATGTTAGTTTTATTTCAAAAGTGTTAAGTATTGTTAAATGATAATAGCAATCGAATGAGTAATCTATCAATGTATTTAGAGTTGTTGTTTTTTTTTGACTTTTTCATAGCAGAGAGGGAGAGGAAAATTGTTCCCTTTTCGTTTTTGTTTCTTATATGATACGAACGATATGTATGTACAAATGTTTGATTGCATCTAAACAGACTGGTTCTTTTTTATAATGACTATAGATAGATGTGTCCAATATGTTAGGTGTCAGATGACTCTTAAAATAACATTGATTTTTAGTAAAATAAGCATTTAGTTAACAAAAAAAAACAACAAATTTTAATGCATTGAAACTCGCAGTAGATTTCTAGCCCGTACTATGATCTACTATCATTATCAAAATACAGTGAAGATTGCACAGTGTTTTTTTCTTTGACTAACATGATAGAGAAAAGCGATGTGGAATGCAAATTTTTAGTATTTCAAAGCCAAGATCTTGAAGCATCTTTTTCATAAGAAAATAAGTTAGAATTCTTTTTCTGAATTAATATTTTGTAAAGACTTTTTTGAAAGATGCTTTCGAGTTTTCCGCTGTTTTCATATAAAATTGAAAAATTCATAATTCGTTCAAAATTGATTCAATGTACTTCAAAATATACGGAATTCTAACTGCTTTATAAGTCAGAATCAATCTCCTGTATTATTTTTTTTTACTGAATTTTGTAAACGGGATTATTGATGATTTTATTCGTTTACAAAAACGTTCTTAAACGTATAAATACAATAGCCTGGTGGGCAAAAATTTAATTGTTCTTTATTGTTATTGTACGCATCATCGCAATAAAACTATAAGTTTTGTTTAATTTTATGCATGCTAATATAATTTCAATTGTTGTACAAAATATTTCTTCAGTTAATTGATGAACAATGTTTGATACTTATATTGCTCTTCTTTCGTATTAATGATTCATCTAGGATGAATCAGTATGTAATACCGGTATTCACCTAGTTTTTTTGTACTATGTATTTTCAATTATGTCGATATTAATTTTCATCTTATTGATTATAGAATCTTTCTCAATGTCAACTTTAATTACCATCTGTTTTTCGTACGAATAGTATTCATTTTTTTGTGGCATAAAAAATTTTTTTTCAATATCTCTCACATTACAGAAAAACGAAAGAGTTATTTATGAGACGTTGAACCGGTTTTGAACAGTTTTCTAATATTACTTGTCAAAATTGACTAGTTTACATCTGAGGAATATGACTCTTTGTAAATTTTCTTTGAATTGCAATCAGTGAATTAAAATTCAACAGATAAAACTTATCTAAGTGATTATATCACAGAGATTTAAATTCAAAAACAAAATTGTGAATTTCTTCGAAAAATAAAATCAATTTTAATTTTTGTCATAAGAGCGATTATCGAACGTATTCTGTAAAGACTAAGAGATAGTTATATAAGCATTGGTAGTATAACTATTATATACATAAAGTTACTTTAGAAATAGAGAGACATTTGTATTTTTTTCAAAGTTTATAATCATTGCTAGATAATACGGAAGAATATACGAATATACACAACTGAAGTAAATGTGATGTTTTTAGATGTTGCAGTCTATTAAAAAACACTAGTAAATACTCACCACATGCTCGCGTACTGATGTTGCGTGCAATATTTAATTTTGTAATCAGCTGTTGTTATAGAATCTACCACAAGAATCTTTTTCATATTTTTTATACAGTGATTGCGACATAGCATTTTTTTTTAAAAAGAATGATGCTGTGTTAGCCTTGTACTTTAAAATTCTTTTAAAAAAAAAACCAATTAATTTTTTTTTATATAATATTATTGCGAGACACATGATTTAGTGTAATTTGATGAGGTTAGCCAGAATATAATATTTATTTTCATTAGAAATGCTTTTCAATTGAAAAATAAAATGTTTTTTAGAAAACTCAATGCCAATTTTCGAAATGAGATACACTGAGATGTTAATTTTACATAAAAGAAATGCTTTTCTTGATGAAATATTGTGACTTATTTAGAGTTTTTTATATAAGACTGTTTTTGTAAGATTCTATATTTAAAATCTAAAGTATTTTTGATAGATAAATAAGAATAATATTTTTTTTAATAAATCAGTCAATTTCTGCCGATTATTAGGTCAAAAGTCTTTAGTCTAGAATGATCATTTTTCCACTACAAAAATCAATTTGTGGCAGTTGAAACGAAATAACTTTCTTATTTTCAAAAACGTTTTTTTTGGTCAAATTCTCATTATCCAAGGTAAAAATGAGCTCACATTCTTAGCTGACGTTAGTGAAACTCTGATTATTGTTTGATATATTTCTTATAAAATTGTTAAAAAGTATTCTGAAAACTGCTTTGAATTGCGCAGAAAACATTTTTAAATTAGCGATAAACGTGCAACTTCATCACTTGTATGATATAAGGAATGATAAGTTTTTTTTATGTCAATCACATCACAAACAATAAGTTGATGGTTATTTTTTATTCTTCTAAAACTTTAATGAAATGTGGGTGAGAATTTTCACGTTTGTTTTTTGTTCTCTCTTATTCATCGCCTACTATGACTAATGTTGTTACTTATAGTTTTACTTAGGCGTGGAGGATAAGGCACATTTTTTCTTTGTATGTATTGTTGATGAGCATTTACACACACACACACATCTGTGGTATGAATAACCTATGTGTGATTCATACTGTTTTAAAATTTCCAGAATTATTGTAATTATAAAATCAAAAACAATATCATAGATATGAGAAATGTGTTCAATTGTTTATCTTCCCTTTTTTTCTATTTTGCTGTTCTTTCATGCAGAATTACTTTTAAAATACGATAAAAAAACAAACAAAAATTTCCAGAAACTTTTGTTTAAAGAAGAATATGAACATAAGCCAATAATATGTGTATAGACACATTTCACCTACGATATACAGAAGAGAAAAGAGATGACTAATTTATCTTAAGAAAAAAGAAAAAAAATTAGTCATTTGTAATAGATAAAATAACTTTCTCATATTCGATTTTACGAAGTTATCGTTTCTTTTTAGAAAAAAAAAGAACATTTTTTGCTACCGATATCAAAGACGAATGATAGAATTTTGTATGGCTTTTACATTTTAAAGCGGTTATTTGAGAACAAATAAATAGATAAAACGTTTTAAATTAACCAACAGCTAAAAATGAAGATATTTTAAAGAAGAGAGAACGTAGAACAGTTTCACCATCTCCGTAGATAGGTATTATTACTAAAAGACTTTGGTATTCGATTGACCTTAGTAAGAGTATTGGTTATATTCAAACGCTACTGCTAACTTCAAACATGTGTACAAAATGTAGACATCTCTTTTTTATGCGATGTCAATCTTTTTTCTTCTACACATGATATTTTCATATTTGACATAACAAATTACATGTTGGACTTGAGTTTTTTAACGTTTTCTTCTTATTTTAGGCATTAACAATCGCTAATTTTCAATGGATCCAACTCATGTTAGTTCATCCGAACAAATCTTTCGTACAACAACAGATAGGGACAATAACGATATTCATCATCAAACAGCTTATTTATCGGATAGAAATGAAACATCTTCATCACGCGTACTTATACAAAGTATAAATAATACAGCTGAACATACTTTGTCTCTTTCTACCGTATCCTCTCCGTTATTTTCTAAAAATTCATTATCGTCACATTTGATGACAACAAACGATAATCAATTTATAAAACATTCATCATCAAAAGAAAATTTATCTGTTGATCAATGTACAATTGAAACACAAACTGATCAACGTTACGATCCATTTTTTTCATCAAAGTCGATACCATCGTTTGCTGAAACACAATTATTATCCATCTACTATTTAAATCGAAATGAGAATGAGAATGATGATAAATCGAAAGATACGTGTATATTTACCGAACAACAAAATCGTATTCCAAAATGTTCAAATATTGCAACATCAGAACAAGTTCGATATCGATCAAGTCATGATCCATTATTAAAATCTACTGAAACACAGTATAGTTTTCTGAATACACAATCAACACAAACATATTCTAGTATATCGGAAAAACAAAATCAACAGTCACAACAAAATTCACATTTTCCTCGATTAACTAAACACGGTAGTACAATTGTTATTGATAGCCGTTTGACAACACAACAAGTCATTCAACAGAAACAATATCAGGATATACGTGAAACGACTCCGCTTTACGAACAACATATACGCATTAATTCCGGTAGTCAACGTTTAGCGTCAACTACTATTGATAATAATCTAGCATCTCCTAATCTATCAGAAGCATCTGATGTAGAAGAATCTCATTATTCAATCGAAGAATATATAATTCATGTTGATAATAATAATAATAATAATAATCCAATGCCATTAGTGCAACCACTATCAGATTCTCAGTTACAAACAACAATGAACAAGCACGATTCATTCTCTTCTACAGCCACATCTTCCACTTCTTTAGCAACCCTCCTGGCAAAAAATAATCAACTATCTCACCAAATAAACACACTTGTCACCTCTCCTACGTTGTCGCCCACAATAATTCCTATAACAATTAATTTTAGACAAAAAATACCATTATCTCAATCACAAACAACGATAAAACAAGAACAAATAAAAACTAATGTACCACAATCACCGTCTAAAATAGTAGTTGATGAAAAAGTGACTGAACAATTACCTCAGTATCGAAAAAATCCGTCTGTATCTCAAAGTCAACCATCCGGCTCGTATAGGTATCATCCTGTTCCTATAGAAAGAATCTCGAGTTGGCCTCCAGCTTTTGAACCTGATACTGACGGTTCAAGTGCATCCATTGTACTAACCGATAACCAACAGCAAGAAGAAAAAGTTGCTGATCAACGTCCATCGAAAGTACAATTCAATGATCAAGTACAAATAATACCATTAAGTGAAAATAGTAGTATTAGTGAAGAATTAGTATCACAACAAAATGTAGTTCTACCAGAAGTCGCATCACGAATCTCTAGAAAAATTCAGGATGAAATTGATATAGAAATGGAAGAAAAAGATATAACAACGAATAACGATAGAAGAGCCGTTTTTCACAGTAATACAAATAATCAATCAAATCTATCCATACCAAATAATAGTTTACAACTAGCGAATGGAGGAAGAAATTTGAACGAAGTGTTCAGTGCAACAAACACAGTTGTTACAGGATCCACGGTTTCTCCTCTTTCTCCACCATCGTTTCTGCCCATCAGCTCTCCAGTTGGAGTCGTCTCCTCTTCAACATCACCTCGTCCTTATCTGAAAGTGACACAATCAAAATGGGTCAAAGAACATTTAAATACAATAGAACAAGAAAAGCAAGAGTCGACAACGGCTGCCAGACGTGTTGAGAAATTACGTAATATATTTGAAAATCCTTCATCCGATTCGCCTGCATTCAATAGTCCACAATCTCGACGACCTATAATCGATGAATCAGAAGAATATCAACCAAAACACGGTAATGAAGTACGATATTGGATTAGCGATCATCCTGTGCGGCCAACAACAATTATCAACCTTCCATATAGACAAAATACATATCATATATTGCCTCCTGAAGTTGAATTATCTAATAAATCGTTAATCTCATCAGCCTTCACTGAAACTAGAACTGAGCTGTTAGTTGAAAAACAAAAAGAGATCCCTCCACCATATAATCTTGACGATATAACTCATATAACAAATAATAAACAGATTCAAAGTCTCTATGATATTGGTTACTATTTAATTGATGGAAAAACATGGAAATGGAATCAAAAATTTTGGTTAAGTCTCACACAACATCAACATGATCAACTAACACGTTTACACGAACAACAAAACAAGGAACAAATACTATCTGTTGATACAGATATTGATAATGTAAAACATATTACTGATAAAAATGAAGATCCAAGTTTCATTGTATCAGCTAGTGAATCCACTGAATCTGCCACATCATCACAAGATGATTTTTCTGTCGAAATAAGAGCACAACGAACATTAAATATGTATCGCACGAATAATAAAGAAATCAGTACTCAACAAAAACAGTCATTGCAACAGATGAAAACAACCGATCAAGTTCAAGAATTATTTAAACAACAACAGATAATGTTAGGAAGAAAAAAGGATAATATTGGCGGTATACCCGAGTCTGGATATAGTTCTTCCGAGGAATTCGATGATCGTCAACAAAAAAAAAAACTTTATTTACTTGATGATTCAAAACCGATAACTATAGTCGAAGAGTCACCTAATGAACAACAACAAATTCAACAAGAAGATCGCACAGTACAAGAACAAGATCCAGATTTATCTGAAAGCATTGCAACTTTCGCGACAGCCAGTTCAATAATAATCGATTCAAACAATGTTTTATTACAACAAAAAGATTTTTATAAAAATCAAGTGAAACATCAAGAATCTCTTACCTCATTATCACACCAGGAACTAAATAAACAATTTGTTGAAGATAATTTGACGTATGAAAATTTTGTTTACGATTATTTAGTAACAAATTCCCGTCGTTCATGTGATAAAAATGGTTATCTAGTATTATACATCGATGGTCAACAGATAAATACGACTATTCGCTTATTCAATGTTGAACAGGATCATCCTAGTGAGAATATTGATACGATAGAATTATCTCGTAAAGTATACATAGATTTAATTGATTATGTAATACAACCATTTGAAACCGAACAAGAACAGCTAATTATATTCATTAATCAAGAACCTATTGTTATTCCTGCCGATAAATGGTCTATATATAAAAATAAATATTCTCAATCAAAATGGATTCATCATTTACCACATATTAATCGAAATATACCCACACAAATACGGTCAAACATTGAAAAGTGGTTAGAAGAAAATTCAACATTTACAGAATTACTACAAAATAATAACATTATTTTTTTAAATGTTGATGGACAACGTATACCATTAGTTGGTAGAGTTGGAAATCATTTAATTGATTTATACAATCTAAAAGAATATCGTTGGTCATCTATACTAAATTATTTAATACGTATTGGACAAGTCTCTTATAATATTGAACAAAAATTTGTTACATTATGTAATAAAAAATTAGGTGTTGAAGAATTATTAAAGACATCTACTCGACCCTCAACCATCATCACAAGAACAACAAGTCCAATTCAACTTCAACAAAAACAGTTATCATCGTTTTTACGAACAATTGATATCAATTTTCGTAATGAGGATGGTTCATTGTTCATCTCCTCTTCACAAAATGAAAGTTTATATATACCAGCAAATTTTGTATCAGAACTTTTTCTAAAATATGAAAATAGTAAAATATTGAATGTAAATGAGTTAGCTCTTATTCTATTAAAACTATGTGACATTGAATATTTACCAAATAATCATTTTCGTTTAATTTTTAATCAACGTTCAATCACCGTATCACCACCACCACACGATCATCATTCACGAATACCACCAATATCATCATCACCATCCGCAGCAGCAGCAGCAATAGCGACAACAACAATACCTATTGAACAAATGTCCCAAGAACATTTAGATTTACAATTGTTAAATTGGTTTAAAATAAATTGTCAGTTGTCAAGTAAACAAGATGTACTTCTAATTGAATATTTACCAACAAATCAAATAGTTTATATTGAAGGTCAAGATGGTTTACGTCTATCTCGTTTATTCCATCAAAACAGATTAAAATTAGACGATATTTTATATTGGCATAAAGCCAATGCAAATATAAACTTAAATAATATTGATAATACACTAATATTAACTATATTGCCATCATCAAAAGTAAAAATTATTGATGATAAAAAAACGAGACAAAAATCATCATCCTTGTCTTTATCAATCAACCAACCATTGATGTTGCCAACGATAAAAAAAGAAAATTTATCGAAACTTTGTTTTCGTATTCCTGTTAATAGAGAAAAAAAAGAAAAAGAAGAAGAAGAAGAAGAAAAAGAAGAAAAAATAAAACAAGGTAAAATAGAAGAAAAAAAAAAGAGATCAGTAGTAAATGGAATAGACGACGACGACAACGACGACGATAACAATCCGGCAACTGCATCTCGTAACAATGTACAAGAACATTTATTTGTACTTGAAACTATCAAATTACTGTTAGAAAATATAAATCAATATGGCAGTATAACATTAAATTCAACTGGAGATTTTTTATTTTTTACATTTGATAATCAGCATATTTTATTTGATAAATATGAAACAAAATTATTTTTTGATGATTTTGAATTAAATATTGATCATATTGCTAAATATATTTACGATAATTCACAATCATCTATTGAAGATAATGGTTCAACATTAATAATCAAACAATTTCATAATAACATGTTTAAATTTAAAAATTTAAAAGATAAATTATTACCATCAAGTTCAAAAAAATTACGTATAGGACCAAATTCAAAACAATCAACAAAAACATTAGATATTAATTATGAAGAACAAATAAGTCAATTAACACGTTGGCTAACACAATTAAGTCGTCAAGGTTTAATATCTATTAATGATCAAAATGATATTTTTCTAAATGGAGGAACAACTGAAGAATTATATATTGATCATGATGATGTTAATGCCTATATGGAATCAAAATCTATTACAGAAGATGATGAACATCCAGAAGTAATTAGTATGACAGATATTGCTCGTATTATACTTAAAAATGGTTTTATTGATTATAATCTTAGAAATTTAGTCTATCGTAATAATAGACCATTACCATTAGGTGACGAGATATTAACAACAACAACAACAAAAAAAACAACAACAGTCAATAATGCAAATAATGAAAGACAACGTGAATTAGATTGGTTACAATCAATTATACATGGTATACGTCCAAATCAATATAATCAAGAAACTGAAGTCGATTTATTTGATGGTGAACGTACACAAATTTTAAGATTACCCTATCAACAAATAAAAATACCACAAAATAAACGTACAATTGCCGAATATTTATTAGAAAATGGACATGTACGATATGATGCAGAAAATGAAAATTGGGCCTATCGTTATATTCCACCTGATTTATATCAAGATGAAAATGATAATATAGAAAATCGTAATGAACAAATAGCACAACGTTCACTAATTGCATCTCATATTCGACAAGTACATATTAATAAATTAACTGGACAAATTGATTTAGAATTTCATAATGGTCAACGTTTACCAATACCTAATGCATGGTTACAAGATATTCGTAATAATGATTTTGATCGTTCATATATAATTGATATGTTATTAATAAATGGAGGATATTTAGCAGATAAAAATAATACATTTGTATTTAATAATCAAAAATATTCATTACAAGTACCAAGACCATTACCAAAACAAACAACAAGTGAATCACAATTACAAACATATAAATTATCTACAAAACAAAAACATGAAATGATAAGAAAATTTATTGATTATATTATTGAACAAGATGGAATGAAACAAGATGGTACAAATAGTCTATTATTATTACAAAATCAACAACAAGAACTTTATTTTACTGCTGAACATTCTGATCAAATACGTTCAAATAATTTACATCGTAATGATGTTGTTAATATACTTAGTAAACATGGGAAAATAAAACGTGATGAATTTAATAATATTTTATTATTTTATAATGATCAATATATTCAATTACCATCAGCAGTAGTTCCATTTGATCAACAATCATCATCAAATGTTACTAAATCAGGCAAACGTTCAACATCTGAATCAGGTATTGCTAGTATGAATGATGATTATGATAATAATATAGATAATGATCAAGAATTTTATCAACATCTTTCTAATGAAACACAAGAACAATTTATACTTCGTTATCATGAAACAATTAATTATATGTATAAAAATGGTTATATAACATATGATAAACAAAAAAAATTATTTCAATTATATTTTTCTAATAGTATTTTATTTATACCTTATGATAGATTAAAATTAATTATTGATCCAACATATATTGATACATCATCTGCACGTACAACAACAATTTTACCATTTGCTTCAATTCAATTATCCGATTGGTTATTATCTAATAGTGATACAATAAAAAATTCACGTAAAGGAAATATTATTTTAGTACATAAACAAAAAGTCTATGAATTACCATTAATTAAACCATCTAAAAGACAATTTCAAAATCCATTGAGTGAATTATTTCAAAAGAGTCAATCATCATCGGGAATAAATGCAATTGGAATGAAACGTTTTGAATTTACACCCGTTGCACGTCGACGACAACAACAACTAGCTAAAATTGATATGACAGATCGTGATGTACAAATGAAGTGTATATTAAATTTATTAGAACATATGGATGGATATGGTGGTATTAATGTAAATAATGATACAAATGAATTAATATTATCAATGACGCCTGATAAACATCAAAGTTTAATAATTAGTGAAGAATCAATTACGGAATTAATTAATGAACAACCAATTGGTTTATCAAAAGATAAATTAGCTTTATTTTTATTACAAAATGGACATTTTGAAATGTTAGATACAGATCCATTAGAAACAAATATTGTTTATCGATATAAGAATGGTCATCTCTATAGATTTCCAAATATAAAAAATTGGTACGAAATTCTTACAACGGAATCACCAGAAAAACGTATTATTCGAGTATTAGGTAATATGCTCGATGTAAATAGTAAAATTTTACAACGTAGTGATCGTTCAATATTAATTACATTACGTAATGGAGAAAAATTTGTTATACCAGAAAATATTGGTACACAATTAATTGGTCCAGTAAATGGTAAAACAATTGCAGAATTATTAACAAAATATGCTGATGATATTCATGAAGAACAAAATGGAAAAATATTAATTATACGTTTAGGTGATCAAACAATACGTTTGCAACAACAACAAGAACGACAATTAATGAGTCAAAATCCACCTGGAACAAAATTAAAATTATTATTTCCATTTAATCGTCAATTACGAGGTGATCTAATGCAAAGATCACCATCAACAAGTACATTAGGCGGAAATGTACAACAACCAGATGCCAATGGTGGATATGTCATGGATCCTCTATTAATGTTAGCCCATTTTATCCATCGTGCGGGCTCAATATATCAAGATGAACTTGGTCGATTAGTAATTAAAATGAATGAAGATGAAATCGTTGTACCACGTATTGAAGCTATAAATGCTATTGAAACAATAAATACATCACCCCATCGATCGGGTACAATTATTGCTCGTCTTATCGATCGTATTGGCAAAGTACAATCTAACAAAGCTGGTGGAGTAATTATTACAATTGGTAAAACATCATTTGAATTATCAAAAGATATTATTGATCGTGCTAATCAATTACATAAAGAAACAATTGATATTGAAAATGATCTTGCTGTTGATTATGATTCATTAAGTTCAGGTTTAAATGGTTCAATGATGTTATCTCGTCAACAACCACTTTTATTACCATTATTAAGACATTCAAAATCTCTTGGCTCATTAGCTACATCAAATTCTAATATAGGAAAACATCCTTGGTTTACTGATGATCAACAAATGATATATACACAAGATGGTAATGGTGATGCACGCTATCTCAATTTCGATAATTATCGTTTAAATTGGCAAAAGTTTCCTCATACACATGGTATACCATGTGAAGTACGTACAATAAAAAATGTAGCACCATATCTAAATATATTAGGATATGTTGAAAATGATAAAAAAAAAATGTTAACAATTGATGATTTAACTAAAACTCATCCAGAAATGTTAAAAAGTGGAAAATTTGATGATATAAGTTATTTAAATCGTCTAGAAAATGAACGAGCTAAATCACAAACGACACTTTGTCCACGTCCAAGAATATTAGTTATACCAGATGATGAAACAATGTTATCTTCAAATCGTCGTACACGATTTTATGTACAATATATGTATGAAAATGATGCTGTATTAGGAACAGATCCCGCTTATGTTATGATGTTGCCTAGTAGATATCCAGTATTACCAACTAATCCACAATTAATTGCACCACGTCATTATCGCGATATTGCTTTGAGAGATGCACCTGTGTATGTAAAATAGTTTCATTTGTTTATTATGACATCTTCATTTCTAACATCCTTCTACAAACTATGATCTTTTCTCCTCTTTCTTCAGAGTATTTGAAATTTCCATGGTGACACTTTGTGCACTTTTTATACCGTAATAAGAATTCTCGATAATTCTATTTGTGTTCAGTAGTCTTAACGTGTCAATTAAAGACAATTATAACGAGAATAAGAGGATCAGAATGTTCTTTTTAAGGCAACAAATAACTTCATCTTTCGAGTTAACGAGAGAAAATAGACAAATGTCAGAAAATCTTGAGATTTGATAAATAAAAAGTTGCAAGTGCCTGTAATCATTCTATTATGAAAATATTTAAAGATTTTTATTTTAAATCCTATTCAGGTATGTGCACAAGAAAAATGAAGGTCAAGTAATGTATGAAAATTTAGCTCAGTATCTTTCAACTGATCATCCTGATGTATCACCGAGAACCGTTCGTCGAATGTTAAAATTTAACAATAGTGCAGAGTATGAAGAATACTTAGCTCATAAAATGACGTCGGATGAGGCCAAAGAATTGGCAAAGACTTCCGAACAACAACACAGAAACAATGATGAATCGAGATATATAAACGTTCGAGCTACAGGTCGAAAAGAGATCAATCAAAATGATGATGAATATGATACAGATGAAGATAACGATATTGATAAAAATGTTAATAATGGGAATATAAATAATTTGTATGAAAATGATCAATATAATATAAGAAGACATCAGAGAAACGATAATACATATAATTTTGATAATCGACGTTTACAACAACATAATCCTGTTCAAATAAATAATTATGAGAGAAATGATGATGAAGATAATGAAAATAAAATTATATGGCAAAATCAACAAATGAAAACTCAACGACCAATACCAATTTATCGAAATCGTCCACAAAATTCTGTTCTAACATTTATTGATAGTACAACACGAAATGTTCATAATGAAGGAGAACGTTCTCCATCAACATCTAGTATTGGATCAGAAATGGTTATAGCTAATATGAGACCGTCCGATGTACCACTTGTACCACCATTACCCAATCTTGAATCAAGAGCAAATTATTTACGTTCACAACAGCCACAACAAATAAAAACAAGACTTAGTAGCTTAACAGATCAAAATTATGGTCGACCTGTTGATCCATCACGTATACCTATTATTAATAGAGAAAATCGTCAACAACAACAAATTTCAACTCAGAGAACTGACCGACCAGTTTGGTTAGTTAGTCAATAAATCATAGAACAGAATTTTATAAATTCCGTCTATTCGATGATTATTCAACAAATTTTTATTTACTGTAAATAATTTTTTGTTTTTTTTTGCTTCATGATAAAGCCTACATATATATATATAGCGAGAGAGTGAGAGAATTTAAGAACAGTATTTTTTTAGTTTTTATTTTGAATACTCCTATTTCACGTATCCAATATGAATAATTATATCACTTCCTAAATGATTCTGAACAGTATGAAATATTCGATCTTTCTTCCCTCGTAAAATGGATGATAATTTTATATGCGTTTTTGTTGCTTCTATGTTTTTACTATAGAATAGTTTTTATATATGATGCCATTTTAAACAGAAATCTATTTAAAAAAGACAATTAAAAATGTATATCTCTGTATGTGTGTGTGTGTGTATGTAAATAGCAATTTTATATATTTCACCTTGATGTTTTCCTTTTTTTTGCGTTGTCGTTTTTTTTTTCCTTTTTTTTTTTCTATATATAGTAATGTGCTTTATTTCTTTCTTACTCTATTCATTCTCTCTTTTTGACATAACATTAAAATGTTAAATTTGCAGTAGCTTTTTTTTATTTTGCTGCTGTTGCCATTTTACAAAATAATTACTATTATTTTTATCACGAAAAATAAAAAAGAAAAAGACGAAACGAGAAAAGAAAAAAAAAAGAAAAAGTAATAAGAACTGATTCTCTTTACGGTTAATATCTAACGAAAGAACTAGAATGACCTTGGAATTTCAAAAAAAAAGAAAAAAAAAAGAAATTGACTATATTTGACGAATGTATGCGTGCTTACCGTAATGAAATAAATTAGAAAAAAAAAGAAAGACATTTTATATTTTATTCTGTTTTTTGACACGATGTGGCATAATTATACAACTAGAGGCGAACATTGTAGTTGTCCTTGAATGTTGTAGTTCTTCATATAAATGTACTCAATGAATGATACAATTTTACTAAGTTGAAACATCTTTGTTCTCAATCAATGATAATCGATATAACATGAACATGAGAAAACTATTTTCTTCACTAATAACTGATATTGAAACCTTCTAATATGTGACTTTTGTGTTTGAAATTCTGTTTACCTTTGTCCTTGAAATATATGCATAACAATACTTTCGTTTAATCAATTAAACTGTTAGATGATCGAATGTCATTTAAGTATTTTATTACGATTATTTCATTTTGATTACTCAATCAAAATTTTCTATTTTGCTTATATTATCCCTCGTTTGTAAACTCTGTCTAACAGATGGCACTGATTCCTTTTTATACTCTGAATATTTTTTGTTTTTAAACAATACTTCCTCATTCATCACATATTATTTGTATTAACCTTCAAACAAGAACGTTAAAGTACAAATTTCATTTTTTATTTCTTGCTCTCTCTTTCTCTCTTTCTGTTTCTCTCACTTTTTTTCTGTGGCTTCAACACTTTCATTATTTGATAAAATAATTATTTGTACACCTATTGATAGATGAAGGTTGATGTCAGTAATCACCTTTCATTATCTTCAAAATAAACAACTAACATTTCTATAATGTCGTTTCATTGCTGTCTTTTTGTTACTTTAACAAGATGTTTGGAGTAGAATTTTGAATGAAAAAAAGAAAGAAAAAAAAGAAATAAATTTGAAATGATCGACAGGTGTACTCTTTATGTAAAGCGTATAATTTACATGTATATAATAATATTAAATACTAATGGTCAAGTACGCACAATTTTTTGTTGCTTCATAAGAAATAAATTGACAAGAGGAATATAAAATAATTTTTACCTTCAATAACATAAAATAAAAAAAAATAAAAAAAAAAAAAATATAAAAATCAACGAAAAAAAAAACTGTGAATGATTATATATTTCTAAGGTATAAATAACATCATGATAACGAGTAGATTTTTTTTTTTAAATTATTCGTATATCTGTGCCTGTGCAAAAGAAAAAAAGAATTAATGTGTGAAAACAATTTACTCTCACTTCACTTCATTAACTGGTAAAATAGCAGCACTAACAACAACAGCAACAATCAAAAAAAAAAAAAAAGGCTTCCTGTTCGTGTTAATGTACAGTGACTAGAGGTTTTTTGTGTTTCGTTTGTTTTTTCTTTCTTTCTTTAGGCAGGCATGCTGGTAATGGTAATATTGAAAAAACTAATTTACCTAGAAGTGCTACTTTATCCGGTCAAAGTACGCGTAATAAAAAAAAAATTTCATCTTTATGCATGAAATTAATGACAAATAACAAAAATAATAATTTTTGAACTGCATATATGAACTAAAAAGAAAAGTACTCAATCAACTTTAGATCGTTCTAATTTATAAAATATTTTCTTTTTGAATAAATTAGTTCGTTTATCAAGGATACACATACACTGAACATTTTTATTTTTCGAGTTAAAAAAACATTTTGTAAATTTAATTATGATACAATTTTTAAAATATAAATTTGATATGTATCATTAAATCATAAAATTAATATTCTAACCATACGACTTTGTGATAAACATTCTTTTTTTTTTTTTAAATTATTTTTATTGCAATTCTCCCACTTTCATTGACCTTTTCGACAGATTAGACATCTGCCAGATGTACTCACGTCTCGTTCTATTGTTAGATGACGAGTTGAACTTTTCATAAAAGTGACTATGTAGTTTTCTGTATTCTAAACATCGTTTACAGCAAAATATTCATCTATGATATAATTAAAATTATTAATTTCGTGCATGAAGTTTTCGACTTTAAACTGCATGTACAATACTTTGTGTTCATGTTTGCTACGTGTGTTGTGATTCTATTTTTTTTATTCATTTATTTTTCAGGCGTAGATAATGAAAGTGATAATCGTCACAGTGCGTCTGTATCACGAAGTGCAAGTGCCGCTGCAAGTATGCATGTTTTCTGTTTTTTGATGTCGCTCTCTATCGTGCGTTTATATAAACATTTATACGTCTATTTTTAAATCATATTTTTTTTTATTTTAGAAGTTGCAACAACAAGTATGAGCAAGTCAGATACAATGAAATCGACGACAAGCAGTTCAGCATCAAGTCGAGAAGTAGGTTCATTTAAGTTTTATATAGAATTGAGAGTATAACGATAAAAATAGACTATGAAAAAAACCAACAGCAACAACAACAACAACAAAAATTTTGCATGTATTTATCTGTTTTATAGCATCAAACAAGTTCACTAGATACTATTCAAAAACCTATTTCTGTAACTCGAACAGCGAGCTCGGTTAGTAGTAACTAAACGCCAATAAAAATATTTCGCTTCCAATTTAAAGCTTCTCTTCTCAAGCATCTCGAATGGGTTTTTTTCTTTTGCTTATTTTTAAATTTTTGAATGGATATTGGATGATTTCAGTAAAATTTAATTTAATTTCAATAATTCATATATTTGAATAATAATGTTGATTGTCACAGAGACATGCTTTTTTTCATCTTTTTTTAAATTGACTTTAATTTTTTGTTTTATTGAAATCAGTCCATATCGAACGGTTTATATTTTAACTAAATAATGAAGTTTGCCAAAAATATTCTTGAATATTCAACACGATGCATGCAAACAAGTTCAGTGATGAATTATATTTTATTTATTTACTGGGAAACACTATTCACACATATATAAAGCTTTTTCATCATGAATATTTATAAAAATTTAATTTTATGACTTGTTTTTCTAGGTGTCACCCACACGAAAAGAAGAGAAAAAAGAGAAAAAATCAAAATTTCGTACACCATCATTTTTGAAAAAACGAAAAGACAAAAAAGAAAAAGAAAAAGAAAAAGATAATAAAGCCTAATTAAATGAATTTTACTTTTCAACGGTAAATATGGCATAATATTAGTTAATTAAATCAATATAACAACAGAAACAAGTATTTCATTAGTGATTTTATTCTTATTTAGACAAAATGAAATTACTATCAATCGCCCGCGTTGTCGTATATCTTTTCTTGCGTGTTTGTGTGCGTGTGTGTGAGTGGTTTGTTTTTTTATATACATCGTAGAATAATTGATTATTCATTCATCATTATTATCGTTGTTGTCGCTATTGAAGTTTCCTTGATGTTGTAAATATTTATACATGCATAATTCAGTTTGTAATAAGAACCATTCGTTTGTAGGTAGGTAGGTAGGTAGGTAGAGAGAGAGAAAAAAATATTTCATTCCAAATATGGTTAAATTAAATTACTTAGTTTCTTATTCCTCTCTTGAAAAAAGAAAAACACATCTCTTATTCTTTTTGATTTTCTTTCATATAAATTGATGCATTAAAACTCAAGTGTCAAAAATGTTTAGTGCATACGATTTCGCAATAAAAATTCTCTCATATGTTTGTTTACTCATTTTGCGATCTCGCCCATTTTTGTGTGTATGTGTGTGTGTGTGTGTGCGCGCGTTTTTCTATATCTGTAGAATAGTGTTTAATTGTTGTTGTACTCACATATAGAACTAAAAAAACAATTTAAACATCAAATAAAAAATATGCTCTAGTCATTTTTTTCTAATGTTGCTTTTGTTTTTTTCTAGTTTCTATTCACCATTATAGGTCTCTTCCCGAAAAAAAAGTGAGAAAAATTTAACTAATCTCATAGTTAGTAGAAACAGAAAATTTTTCTCTTGACATGATCTCTTTCATATATGTGTTTATTTTAAGGAGAAAAGTTAAAGGGTTAAATTGAAATGATTCTAAAATACAAAAGCATAAAGAAAAACATTTTGTTCAGTTAATGAATGATTTTATTTGTTTTTCTTTTTGTGAGAAGTCAACAGCCATTGTGTGTCATCTTCTCCACTATCATGATTTTTTTTCTTCTTTTTCTTTTGTTTCAAATATTCATCATTGCTTTGAAAAATGTTTTGTTGTTCTTTTCTCCTAGTGACATTGGCGACAGAAATAAATAAATATAGCCAAGTTTTTTGTTTTCTTGCCGTACAAAACTCTTTCTATCATTCATTGTATTCTTTCTTAAATGGTTTCATTTCGTTTTTTACGATATCAAAGATATCGCAATTTTACTTCTTCTTTCGCTCATTTTTGATTTTTTTTTGTGCTCATATATGCTGCATGTATATGAAATTATGTTCATTTTAAATAACCAGAAAATAAAACTAGCAAAAACAACAACAACTGGAATATAATTGCGTTGCATACAACTTCCAAATGCTTTTGAGTAGACTACAAATTTTTAACAATACTCTTATATTTAACATTGTTTAGGTGTTTTAATGGATTTAAACGATGAATGTCACATAACTCTGCTTCTGATTGATAGGAAAATACTATTATATATCTTGTACTCAACAAGAAAACTAACTAAACAGCTTGAAACGTATATAAAAAGACTAATAATAAACAGAATGACTAACAAAACCGATTTTACATCAAATTCATTTCATTCAATATATTGTTAGATGCCGAATAACATTATACACGAAATTCATTCCTCAGGCAAACATAATGTTTATAGGAACGAGAATGAGAAAAATTGGTCAAACAACATTTTCAGAAACTTTGATCTATCACCTTCATCTCACCCGACAAAGGTCTAGTTCTGGCTAAAAGTTTACAAGTTTTCACTAATATGATGTATCCGTTCTAATGTGTCATGCTACCCCAAAATTTCATGTGAATTCTTTTTTAGTGTTTTTTCTTATGGCAGCAGATACTTATCAAGAAAAGGAGTTTCCATATTAGAAGATCGACTTTACACATCGACGGTAGTACTATGGTCTCATCAAATACAGTATACTAGACAAATGTTTGAACAAATCACGTTTAGCAAAAGAACAATAACAAATGTTGTTGGATATTGCTTATAACCATCACATGAAAAATAATAAGATTCAAGAGTTTTCCTTGTCCTTGATATGTCAGTTTTGGATATTTATGCAGAAAGATGATTGGAACATCTTCAGAAACTTAAAGAGAGAACATTCTTAAATATTGGATGAACTAAATGATCTTTCAGTTATTCAGATATGTTGTGTAAGAACGGCTTGACATATTTTATTTAACGGTTCATTTTTGCGTGATTCCGTTTCCGACATACTACACTTTCCAGTCATATGTTCTTGTTACAGTTACACTGTAGAATCATCCATTCGATTTTTCTTTTGTTGTAGGTAACTTTTTTATGATATTGAATCTTTATCTCATTATCTTGCTCGTTTAGCTATCCAGATACACAGTTTGTTCATTCTACGCTGCGGATGATAACATCGGAAAGCAGCAGTGAAGACATAAAAAAACCTTGGGTGATGTTTCTAATTCGGGGAAATATATCTGATTCAGTGACAAATCTTGAGCATAGAGTATTTCTCTATATCTCTAGCAAAGTGTGATATGATGGTAATTAGCAGAATATTTTTTAATAGGACAAGACATCCTTCAGATTAAGAACTAAAGTAAACAATTATCTGAACAGATAAGCACGGCAAAATGCGCTTATAATACAAAACTGTCACGAAAAAATATTGACTTTAATGAAAAACGTAAGAGTTAGACATTTTGTACAAAAACCATACGGATTAATCAAAATTTTGGCGATTTGTACAGATTTGTAAACATAAAAGGGTGCTAATAGTGTAATTAAGGATTGCATCAACAATTACTTCAAGGCTTCTCTCGTCCACAGATGTTTACAGCAATAAAGTTGTAATATCAGTGCCAGTTAATAAGTCATGGTTTGAGAGTTAATGAAAGACAATTTATCTTTCTGTTCGATATAAACAACATTCAAAAAAATAGTGTAAAATGGTTCTTCTTTTAACAGAGTTATTATATGCACCGAATGGATCATGAATGAAAATCTTTTTTAGATACGAGGTTACATTTTAGGTTTCGAAGACTATAGAATTTAGAAAATGGCTATGGTTTGCAAAACTCCTATTCAACAATCCCATGAAAAAGTATAAAAGAATCCCTGGAAAATTTCACGCGAGTCTTCGACGACTAACATTCATCATTTTGTTTTCTGAGTCGTATGATATTTTGTGAATATTTTTCAGAACTTGACTTTTTTATCACATTATCGGTGACTTTCTACCATAATGACGGCTCATACTACCCACGGTCATCATGTGAACAAAATAATGGAAATCCCAAAAGCTTACCAAATAAATTTGGTAAGCTGTAATATTGAATTGTAAACTGTAATATTGAACTTTTTTAAAGAATATATATTAAGAATTAATTTTTTTAGTATTTTTTCAAGATTTGTCATACCTTAGATTTTACGATAAAAGAATTAAACATCTTTGATCTTTCAAAATTATTTATTCTCACGCTCAGTACTCATAAAGTACAACCATCTTTTAAATGCAGAAATTGAGTATAAAGATCTTAAGTTACGTTGACGACTCCAGTGTGGACAAAATCTATTCAAAACCATTACACAATATGATAAAATTGAAATATATCAGTTAAAGTATACTATGGGTTACAGTAATCTCTTAAATTATCTGTTTGATGAAATACAGTGTTTACAAGGATTTTCAAAGTAATTTTGAGATTGAGTTACTAATAATATTTGCACCCCCATTTGAAACCTAGTGGGTTATGGGTTATCAACCGTGCTGAATCCGAATATCAACATGAGACGGGTCCTTAGACCTTCAAAGACCGTTTTTCTTGAAAACCAGTTTTCCAGAAACTCCAAAAACTCTCCGAAACTTTTCTTAATAACTCACCTTTGTAGCCCGCGAAATTCAGATCAAAATGAGACATCTCTCAGCTCTACATGACCTTTCTTTGCACAGTTATAGAAATTACAAGAGCAGCCCTAAACTCCTTATTTCCCTTTTCTTTCTATATCTCTGAGCTGACAATGAACATTTAGGGCTTTTCTTGTAAATTCTCTAACTTTGCAAAGAAAGATCATGTAACGCTGGAGTATGCCTCATTTTGGTCAGAATTTCGCGGGCTACAATCATGTCTCATTAAGAACAGTTTCGGAGATTTTTGTTTCTGGAAAACTGGTTTTCCAGAAAAGCGGTCTTTGAAGATCTAAGGGGTCATCTCATGTTGATATTCGAATTCGGCACGGTCGATAACCTATAACCCACTTGGTTTCGACCAAAAAGCGATTAGACAGTTGGAAAAGGTCCCTCGTTAGTTTTATATGTCACATCGTACATATATCTGAATCGACTGTCATGAGTTAGTACAAAAACAAAATCTAATACAAATCTACGTGATCATTAACAATTTAGCTATTTATTTTCACGAATTAATCTTCTTCTCGTTGCTATGTTTATCCGTTTAATCATAGGATATAGATAGAAACAAAGTAAAGGAAAAAAACTTAAATATGAGTGACACCAACAAGCATGTTGATCTTGTCATAATGATTGATTGAGAAAGATAGGATTAATGTCAAAAATACGAGTTCCATGCAGTACAACTACCTGTTAAACTGAATATCGATGTTAAAATTATTTTTCTTTATCTGAAAATTTTTTGTGATTAGACTGATCTAAGCATATTTTATCGTAAGATTTTTGCATATAATGCACACGATACATGTTAAAATGTAGTTCATTATATTTTACTCTGATAATAACAAATTATGACGATATCTAATCCAAAAATTGAAACTTTTATACAATATCAAAGCCAAAGGCAAATCAGATTTTAAAACTTCGTCAAAATAATCATGCTATAAATTAATCAAATTAAATGTCAGTAATTAAATTCAATTACTATTGAAAATATATAGAAGTCATCAGATTATAGTGTCTTTTTCTTTTTTCATGCATACCAGAGATAGAGTGAGACAGTCTCATACCACTAATCATA